CCTCAGAATTTACTGGTGGTTTGGCCTGTTCTACAAAAAATGCCGGCACCTGCTGGACTTCCACCACTTCCACTTCTTCCCATTGTTCTCCACTCTGAAAGTAATGAGGGTGTTCCATTACACCTTAGGTTAAAAACAATACCAACAAGAAAATTAGGAAAGAAATAGTGACTCACCAAAGACACGGACGAATCACCGTCAAAAGGGTTTTCGAGACCGACGCAGGAAGGCCCCAGCACGGCTAATACCTTCTCGTCAATAATAGAAGGTGTTGAGTTGTCGTCTTTCGTTCCACTACCTACATATACAAGCACAAGCCAATGAAAATATAACCTCGACACAACAAGTTATGTGCTACATATAGTATTTTTCACGAGTAATCAGACCGTTTTGACGTCTACCGAATTGAATAAAAATCTGCAGCGTTGGCCATCATGAATCTGGTGTAAAACTCAGGAGCGTATTCGGTGCTGTTTATTGCTTTTTATATTATACTTGAAATGTAGACATGATCAGTCAGCAGCCATTTTGCTTATAGCGTTCTTTTTGCGGTAGTGTGAAGAAAACGTTTCTTAATAAAAGCAATAATAACAAATTCTATTCTATTCTATTCTCTAAAAAAGACCTTATCCAGGTGATATGGTGGACCCATTTATGCCATACTTTGACATTTTTGTGCACAGCACTTCATGATTGACGCAGTCCAAATGCCCTGCTGAGATCACAAAATATCCCAAGAACTCGCCGGCCTCAATCAGTTTGACAAGAGCTCCGGAGAAGCTGTGAATTGCTGTTGCCCATTTCGAAAACCGTGCTGATTCGCTGTCAAAAATATTATTAGTTAACAAAAACAAAAACAACCTGTCCAGATAGCAGTACTCGAATACTTTTGAAAAAGTTGATGGTATTGTTACTGGTCTGTAATTACTCAGCTCAGAGGGATCCCCTTTTTGTATACTGGAATCACCTTTCCCTGTTTTTAGCAGACAACGAAATTTCCCAGTGCAGAATGATATATTGATCATGAAGACCAGTGGCTTTAAAATGTAATTCAATACTTTTTTTACTATAAAATTTGGGATCTCATCAGGCCCAGACGAATGTTTGTTTTTTAGCTTTTTATTAATTAGGGTCAAATAATTCATCATCAGTAAATGGATACAGCAACATCAAATGCCGTGTATCTTCCCTGCTCGAACTAAAGGTATTATCATGAATGGGATTTGTTGGAATATTTCTGACGATTTTTAGAGGTGCAGTTTTGAAAAACTGATTGAATTCATCAGCACGGATTTTCTGATTGGATGTAGTAGTCGAACTCATATTATTGTTTTTTTTTTGTATTATTTCCGGTCAGTTCAGATACAGTCTTCCAGACAAGCTTTAGTTTTGTTGCTGGAGTCAAATATTTTTTTCTGATAATACCTTCGTTTTGTAAGTTCTACTAATTTCTTGTGTTGTCTCTTTTTTCAATATATTGTTGTTTACATTCTGGAATTACTGTTGCTAAATAATGAAATTCCTTTAAATTGTGACTAGAACGCACTATTTCTTCGTTCACCCAAAATTTTCTTTTGATTGAAACCGTATGCTTTCAACCGTGGAAAATTTATTTGAAAGTGGTAGTTAAATACCTCAAAAAAATGTCCAAACGCGAGGCTAACATCGATCATGTTATATAGTAGAGACCAATCTTCAGCACATAGACCTGATATGAATTTGTTCATTGAGTCTTCACCGTAGGACCTTTTCCAGATATTATTAGGTTTGTTTTTTGTTGAGATATTTTCATGGAATTCCGAAGAAGACTGTCCTTGGTCTGACATATTATTCTCTAAAGCGCAGGAAGTACCACTGTCCTCAAAATTTGTAAATATCTGATCAATAGTGGTGACTGAACTTCGTCATATCTTGTCGGCCATCCCACTGATGGAGACAAATTGAATTCACTGAGGACACTATTCAGGTTTCCACATTCAGTACCTTGATTGTAATAATATATATTGAAATCGCCACATAAAATTATGTGGTGGTACGGCTGATAAACGGAATGTATTGCTTGACCCAATTTATCGTAGAAAACTTTTATATCCCCTGAAGGTGATCTATAACATTCATGATAATCGTGGTTATACCGTTGTCTTTAAATTGAGAAGCACATAGTTCTATCTGTTTTTCAACACAAAAATTGGTAAGATCTATAATTTTGGTAGATACAGTTTTCCGGGAATATAAGGCTGTGCCCCCTCCTTTGTAGTGTGATCTACAATAGTGACTAGAAATGTGAAAGTCGTCGATTAAAAATTTTTTTATTGACTCGCTCAAGGCCCAAGTCTCAGTCAAACACACGAAATTTATGCTACTAAATCCATCATTGTTAAGAGCAATTCGTCAACTTTAAATGCATTCATACATTGAATGTTTAACAATAGAAGCGATGGCACAAAATCTAACTTATTTGTGCCACATTCCTCCGTTTGTATAAAAAACGATTAACGCAAGTATTTTTGGGCCACTTATTCACATCCAGAGCTGGTTTGAAGTTGCTATGGGCAATGGTAACATTATAAGACGAATACTCTTCAGGATGTTTAGAGATGAGCTTCTCAACAGTAGCTTCAGGGAAGTGTAGTTTAACCATAGAGCACATCTCCTCAATATTCGTGTCTGGATGGATTCTGCTATCGTGTAGCGAAACTTTTTTCTCTACGCCTCTCACTGCGCCAGTTTCGGGACCTTTACCTACGACTAGGCTGCGTCTACTTCTGATGATTCGAATGACCTAACTGTTTGCTATGAACATAATCATATGAGTTCTCAATTATTCACTATGCTGCCAAAAAGTGAATGAATGTTTTACAAATGTTATTCAAGGAAAACAATTTTCACTTGCGTCCTTTGGTATCTAGGAAATGAGGCAATATATTCAAAATCGTCAGAGGACAAGATAATCTTAGAATAACATGAAAAATTATCACTTGAGCTTTTGTCAAGTGGTTTGGAAACATCCTGTATAGGCGTTTTATGCCCAGTATAATACAGACTAACTTGTTATGGCGACAATACGTTAAGACGGGAGAAATAGGAAGAAAAAGTCCGGTCTGCTGGAAAGAGTGTTGGGAACCATCCATTC